ATTTGTTGTATTTCCTGCATTGAAAAAATGTCTTCAATTATAAAATAAATAGTTCTAATCAAAACTTAAAAAGTAATGATGCAAAGTCTTTTAATAATCATATTTATTACATTTTCACGTGCTGAATATCATATTGTTATTCCAATGCTAACAGCTCCAAAAAGATTACCGATGATTGTTTATACAGCTGATTATATAGTTAATGCTTATAAATATGGGCATCCAGGTATTGTGATTGATGCCATATTTCTTTCCAATGGATGCAATGGATGTAAAAACCCTGACATATTAGAAGCAGCTAAAATCTTTAGAGAGGCAGGTATCAATACTATTTTAACAAATATTACATCAGAAGATTATGACAATGAACAATTTTATTCACACCTTATGGATATATATGAGTCTATATTTCCATTAAGAGGAGCATCAGATTATGTTCCATTTGGTCATAAAAAATTCAATAGAATCAATTATTATTTTTATAAAACGGCTGATATGGCAGTAAAGCAATACCCATTATTTGATTATGTGTTATTCCTTGAAGATGACCAAGCATTTTATAAAAATGCATTTATTAGACTAAAAGAGTTATTTGATCGTTATAACTTAACTGGAGATCATGTAGAAACTCATTTAATACCAAACGTTCCATCACCAGAGTCTGATAATGCTAAAGGATGTATTTGGGGATATTATGGGAAATTACAGAATAGAAAAGAATATTTCCGGTTCAGAAAGCTTGCTAAATTTGATAAATGGATTAGGTGTGGTGATATTGTTCAATGTCTTTGGGTTGATGCATCTGATATGCCAAGTAGAAGACTGAATTTGGGACGTCATTTTGGAAGAGATAGTTACATCAAAAGGTACGACCCAAAATATTATAATTGATGTCTTAGTTAAAAAAAGTCAATCATTAAAAAAGAAGTGAATTAAACGGAGATAGAAGCAGCTAAAGTTTTACTCATAGAAGTAATAGCAATATATTTTCTAGTGACAGAAGACTGTTCTTCAGTCATAATTAAATAACGGTCAAACTGATTAATTTTAGCTTTTAAAGTGTTATCGAAGATCATACGTAATACAAGTAACTCAACTTTTTCTTCTTGCATATCCAATTCTTGAGCTAAGAATGAAAATTTGATTCGTTTAAAACATTTAACTAATTTTAGTATTAAATTTTTTTGAGCAGTTTCGATTAATAATGGAATGTATTGTTGAATATATGGATGATCTTTGAATTGACTTCCACTTTTGTTTAATGCTTCTTTGAAGTGAATAATATTATTTTCATTAAAAGCACAATATAATTGATATACTAATTCCATTTCAGGTGATGTTTGATAAGATTTAACTTCTTGGGCTTGGAAAATATCAATTTTTGATGCAGATAATAAGTGTGCTAAAATAGTAAATCTTAATGCATCAAATCTTTCTGGAAGACCTGCTTCATCTAAGCTTTTGAATGAATCAAAGAAATCATTTTTAGCTCCAGCAAAATCCGAATTACATAATTTAACTTTACCACAACATTCCATAATAATACCAAGAACTTTAGGATGACTAATGTTTCTATCACTAAAATTAATTTTACCACATAACTGTTGTAATTTTCTCATATCATTTAATTTAGAATATAATTGAATTTCTAGTCCATATAATTCAATTAATAAATGACTTCTCATTGGATCTTCTTTCCCATTTGGTAAATAACATGAATTAACTAACTCACTCAAAAATGGTTTTAATTCTTCATATTTACCTGATTCAAACATAGTATTAGCTTTCTTAATATTTAATTTAAATATAATTCTACTGAAATTTGAATTCTTTTCACAAATTTCAATAGCCTTATTAACTACTTCAGTAACTACTTCATTTCTCATTCCATTTATATCTCCTACAATAAGGAATAACCCTTTCTCAGCTTTAGAAACTGCTGGAATATTTAAATATTCTAAAAATTGAACAAAGTATGTTTTAAATTCTTCTTCATTATTTGCTTTACCATAATATCTACATAATTTTCTCAATGACTTATATCCCCTATTTTTTTTAATTTTCTTTATTCATTTTTAGTGTATTTTTGTTATGAACAAACCACTCAGTTTTCTTTTCACTATCTTCTTGAACAATTTCTTTGAAACTTTCAATAGCCCCTTCTAAATTTGTTTCCATTTCATTTTTTGCATCATAAAATTTATTTTCAATTCCAATCTCTTCATCATCAATGACTTCCCCTTCATCATCAAACATCATATCATCATCATCAAACATTTCTCTTTATTCTAATTTCTTAGTTCTTTTTCTTTTTATTTCTCTTATTTTTTTTTTTGAGGTTTAACTTCTTTTTTTTTAATTTTGAGTATCTAAAAATAAATTCTTTTAATAACAAAATAATAAAAATTGTGTTATTTATGTAAGCAACTAATTCTTATCAATACAATGAATCGACTTGATATTCATATAACAAATTGGTGCATAATCATCTTCTAACTCTGTAATAACATCAAAATCAACTTCAATTCTTTTCTTAAAAGAAGGTCCATCAAAAACAAAAGATTCAAATTCACCACCTTCTCCAACAACACTTGCACCACAAAGTTTATTTAATCGAAGTAATTTTTCTTTCATTTGAGCGAGTGATTTTCCAATATCATTTTGATTAAGTCCCATTGAACAAACTTTAACTAAACGAACATCTAAATTACTTTCAATGATTTCATCAAGAACTTCTTTTTGGTCTTTTTGCCATAAAGGAACGAGTACTTTTAAACCACAACGATTTGCACTAATTACATAATAAATAAAAGAAGAATAAAAACTAAAATAAAAATAATAACAAACACATTTTTTAAACGATTTGATTGATAAGTAGAAGCAATAGCTCCACAACAAATAGAGTCAATTTGTGGAAATTTATTTAAAACTTCTTTAACACCAAGATATAAATTTTCAATTTCATCATTTTGAGTTGGGACATAATTAGAATCAATACAAATTGATGAATTTGATTCAAATTGATAGTTTATTAATGGAATATTCATTGCTTCTGCTAAATAAGGAATTGCTTCATGAAGAGCTGTTTGAAACATATAACTATTATTTTCACTTTCTTTTGGTTTTGATGGTTCTAAATGAAGTAAACAGTCAACAGAAATTCCAAGTTTTTGTAAATAAACAATAGTATAAACACTGTCTTTTCCACCAGACAATAAAGCAACACAATGACTCATTTTCTTTTTTTTTATTTTTTTTTTAAGTTTTTTTTTATTTT